AATATAAACGTACTTAACCGGTTGTCACTGTTCCCTTCTGCCTTTGTACCAAATGTTTCACTCCGTGATTATTGCTGAACTGTACAGGGAGGGACAGCTGAACAACCAGCAATAATCGAGCTACCTAAATAGGCGTGCATGCACATGTATCTTACACAATCGTCATGCAAACTCAAACTCAGATATCCCGGCAATGGTGCGGACCTCACCGGGGAGATAGTTTCACAGCAGAGCATCAGTATTGCCAAGAGTACATAACCCCGGGGGTTATGCCCGGGGTTATGTACTCTTGGTATTACAGAACATTTCCGCTGGCCACAGTGGATCCGGTTTTCCTCGCTGAGTGCCTTTTGACAGCTGATGCAGCAAAGGATTCTGCTCATCAACACTTGAGCCAAAAGCGAAGTTGAGGGCTCACAGTGACACCCCTGTATGGCAACTAATTACTTCCCCCATGTCTCACCCCCAAGACGAACTATCCTGCATGGTATACGCGTATACGGTCCAGCCATACTGGCCGAAATTTAAAAAAAGAAGAATAAAGGGTGCATGCGCCCAACCAAGCATCTCCAATGGTCAACACAACAAGGTATGCTTAGCATTCGTGGAGAAGTCATGCTACCAGAACACAACATCGCGCCCGGATTTTTACGTCTGAAAATAGGGGAATTGATACTACATTGTATGCGGGCCATACATACCCTACGCCACTGGCCAGGGAGGCCTAACAACTAAGCTCAACCTTGGAAGAATAGCAATAGATACCAAAAGAACAGCGCACTACAATTTTGTTGTTGTTGTTGTTGTTGTTGTTGTTGTTGAATTTTATTTAAAGTCGCAACACAAACAGGCGATGGTGCCTCCTTTTATACATGTGAGCGACATGACACATTTTTAAATAATAATTATAGTACTTCAGTACCTTTGAACCAAAGGCTGGCAAATGGCAATATTTCTATCAGGAACAAACAACACTGTACATATAATAGCTCGGGAGAATAATTATTTTCATACTGCCGTATGCATGATACTCGTAACCCCGAGGCGCGCCTTGGGGATTGTGAAAGAAAATACTAGTACTAGTATTCGCCATGGTCCTGGATCCGTGTATGCATGCACTATCATTCATGGCAGGTTCTAGACTTTTAATTTTATCTCCGATCTGCTCGCTTTCAGTATCGCCATCCGCACGCTCTAGTCTAGACCTGGCCTGGCCCTGGGACGTGCACGGGCCACCTTCTGACGTGAGTTCAATATCACTTACATAGTCATTGCATAATACAATCATGTACATGTACTTCAGAAAGAATCGCCCGCCTACATCAGTACATGTATGACAAGCCCTGGGCAGATAATGCTCGAAAAATTGGCAGATTCTGCTCCAAAAACAGTGAACCGTATAAAAATTAATACTAAATCCTATGGCAGCCACTTCCTTGAATTCTGCATTTTCTTTATCCACATACTAAACATGCATGAACATACCAGAAGAAGTACCAAATTCTGCCAATTTTTCTGCCGGCATGACCAGCCCCGCAAGACCGGGCTACTTGTGGCACCTGTGATGAGTGATGACCATGATTGACTGGGCACTTGTGTGGCCAGAACAGCAGAACTGCCAGAAGGCAGAACAGTGTGCTCTCAGTCTCAGCATGCATCCTATCGGTATCACGCGTTGCCGGGCGCTTGGCCTGGGGTGTACGTGCGCCGATCTACGGAGCTCCGGAGGCGGAAGCATGATTGTACAGCCAGTTCATCAGTTGGCATTGTTGCCCTTGCACACATTCCAGTTCTTCTTTTGCAGATTAGCAGGATCCGTAAATAGAAAAGCTCTCCGCATTCTCCGTCCTCGACGGCATGCGGCCCAGAACCAGTGTACTACGAGTACTAGTATTCGGAGCGAACAGTAGCAGCACAAGCCTAGCCGGTAGTTGAACGAGTGGTGTCATAAGTTTGCAGATAACTAGATCCGGTACTGAAAATTCTTCGGCGAGGGTTTCGCTCTTGGTGGTGAACCTGTGCGGCGCGTACTTGGCTGTCCGACATACTGGAATGAGAACCTCGTCGACTGCCACTGTGATGTGGATTGTTCCTTCGCTAACGTTACTGCTTCTGCTTGAAGCTGGGCTGCTAGCCAAATCTCTTCCCGCACCGAACTGGGATGGAAAGGACCACTCGGAAATTCTCAAAGACCTGGCGCTGAACTACGAAGATCATACCCGTGACCCACGGGAGAATACTGGTAAGGAACGACCTACTAAAGCCATTGAGGAATTTCATGTCACGTTCGTCCTTCATCTCTGCCGCATTGCTGACTGGAGCGCAGAAGGAAGTCATTTCCAGGGTCATGACTTGTTCCGACAGCGATCCTCTCCACAATGTGCACCTGTGACCATGCATTACCCATCACTTCCTGAAGAAAGTGAACTACAGAATAATATAGTCATGGTATATGGTATAGGGTTGGCGGTTATAGCAATATAACGGCTATAGTGTTATCATATTATTCCAGGGTGCGACAGAGTTCTCGCCTCTCGGCCATAGGAGAAAATGTTGAGTCACCTCCACCATTACACTGCGCTCTTTCGGCGACTAGCACACAACCATCACCACTGCGAGGACACTTCCGTAGATTATATAAGACATGGTTAGCATTTTACCGTTCATGCTATTTTCGACGGCAATAAATCGCCTATTGTGATCAAAATCTCACTTCAAAACCACTCAATTGCATACATTGTGGATCGCTTATACTTTTTTTGTTTGTTTGAAGTTTTATTTTACATCGCAAACCAAACGGGCATTGATGCCCAATATTATGATGGCGATAGAATAAAAAGTGTGGCTCGATAAAGCTGCACTTGAGAAAATGAGAAAACAGTCAATAGGAAGTATTTGTACCGGTAATTTCAAGTCAAGTTCGAACGAAGTAACAATCAGAGAGAAACAGGAAGATGAGGACCTATGCCAGAGGGAGGTGCTACTCGGCCATATTAACCGTAGAAAAACACTTTCAGCAATCTTTTAAACGGGGCTGGACGACGATACTGAAGTAGTAAATGATGGTGCCTACAGGTAGGTTAGGGAAACTGAGATTTTGTAAATGCTTTGTACTACCAGCAATATGGTGATAAAGTAGAAGCCGATTGTTGTTATTTTGTACTAAACAAGTCTTGGTATAGTATTTACATGCCCAGGTACGTATGATGTATGTCTGTTTGTGTATGTAATCTTGACTAAGTCATAAAGTTATGACTTAAATACTACCCTATCCAATCGCATGTAGTGATAACCATCTATATAGTGATCAAATCACACTTTTTCAAACACCTACCCTTTAACAGATCTTTATCTATCTGTATCTATCTGTATACTGTCACCTGTAATTAGTCACTGTTATTTTTAGTATTCACTACACCCCATGTCGTCATAGCCAGCACCTAACTACCTAACTACCTGGTCCCAGGGTGTCAGAACAGGTGTGGTAGGTGCTTAATCTTGTGAGTTTGAAGCAATAAAAGATGGGCTATTTTGGCCGATAAATCCCTAAATTACCCACGTGAGCCCCCCCCCCCCCCCCACACACACCTCTTCATGGCCGCACCAATGTGGAATACCGCACCGACGCCCCTAACTAAAGGTCCCTGCAATACAGATGTGAACCTATTCCCAAGGTGGCTGCTGTTGGTGGAATCATAGCCTGGGGATCACGTTTTGTTCTTTACTTGAGTTGCAACTGAAGCCTAGTTCTGCCTTCTTTGCTTTGCGCCTCATTCTTCATTGTGTCTTGTTTTGTGTTTGTTTGTACATGTCTCTCAGTAGGGATTTGTTCTTAGTAGAAAACGGAATGAATTCAGTCCCTCGCACCCAGCCATTGATTTTGTGGAAACAAGCTTGATACTTGCGATGGGAGAATCAACATGGAGGGGCTTTTCGGTGTAGCCAGGTTAAATTCTAGAAGATGGCATCGAGTATTTCTTTGTCAGCGAGAGGAGATGTCCATGCCCTTGCGACCCAAAGTCCCGTTTCCATATGACGAATTTGTCTGCTCTGCGCTTGCTGCTTTTTTCAGGTGATGAATTTCGCTTGTTTTGGTTGTGTCACAACGCAACAGACAACACCATTGTCTTTAACATCGAAAAACAAATGGCCATGGGAATTTTCAAGGCAGTTAGACGCTTTGTTCTTCCTTTATGAGCAATTGTTTTCCACCATCATAGAAACGTTTGCGGCATTGTACTCGTCCCATATGCGCAGTTCGAGTGACGTGGCTTGCAGTGTCTGCTCCAGCGCCGGGTGAGCCGGGTAATCCACCCGGTTGGGCGGCGCTTGGACCCGGTTGAAAATATAGTACCGGGTCACCTGTGACCCGGTTGGTACTTTACACTTTCGAACTTTGAAAGGACTGACTACATGGCTTGTAGATCTATGTGTCAGATACTTCTTCTTCTTTCGTATTTTTATAATTCCTGTCCTCTCTTTTCTAAATGCGGCTTATCCATTCGCCTTTATATGATTGGGCCTAGTTCCCGTTTATTGTCCGAATTAAAAAAACCAAACAACCAGTTAAAGCATGTGACTCGGCTGGTGAGACAGCGCCAGGTACATGTGTACCCGGCTCCGACCCGGTTGAAATGGTTGCGCCAGGTACACGTGTACCCGGCTGTCCTACAATCCTAGAGCAGACACTGGCTTGGTACATAATTATGTACTGTACAGTGTATAGTGTGCAGTGCAGTCGTTGTGCTCTTTTCTCGATGCTCCCATCACTTGGATCTATCCGTGTGTCAAGCTAAAGTCCAAACGGACCAACTTAAAATTACTATAGCTCATGAATGGTTGGGCGGATTGGAATAATACTAACGGAGTTACAAATGCTACGCACTTGAGAAATGAAGAAGACCAAATTCCAAGTTTTAGAAGCAAGGTTGCAAATTGTCTGTAGTCACTATTCTACATGTGGGTTTTTTTGTTTACTGTTCAACATGTTCCTTGTACAGAATGCAGTGCCAATGCTAGCTACACTGGCCAGTGTAACCTGGACTGCCAGTGTGTGGATGGCAAGTGGAAATGCTGTCGACTCAGGAAGAGTGTGAACAACCTATCTCAGGTAGTGTGAGGATCTGAAAACAGTGAATGTGTGCATGTACAGTGAACCGCTTTCTTCAATATGCCAAGGCTCCACTGAAGCCAATCAAAGGTCCGTAAATAAGTACGTACTGATAATTTCAAATTTCGTGGCCACAGCCGTACTAACTTTCGCGTGGGAACTAACTTTCGGGCATGAATTGACTTTCGAATCTGACGTGTGTTTAGTGGAGAAGTCATTTTTCACGGACATGTAGATGTACAGTCATGCTGCGTGCTGCATATGCGAGCCGTACCCGTACTTATTTTGGCAGTATGTATTTCGGGCTTGACTGTACTTCAAAAGACAGAGTTAAAAGGATGAAGAGGGTGTATATTTTTAGGGCAGGTACAGTCAAACTTGTCCCTGTGGACACCTGAGAAAAACGGACACCTGCAAGTGAGGACAGCTCGTCGCATTCCCATTGATTTTGTGTGCATTTCAGTATGCGCGGACACTTGAAAATGCGGTCACCTGTGAAATGTGAAATGCGAACACCCTCGCGTGCCCATGCCCACGTCAGCATACAATGTGCGCATATGACGATTACGTTGGACAGCCCGGTTGCCCAACGTGTCATTGCTCAACAGAAAAGCAGAATGCACGTACGGTAAGTATTCGAGAAGAAATGAGGAACTACAGAAAGACATAAGGAGAGCTGGAAAGAAAGAAGAATCATCACAGAGAGAAGAAAGACCAAAAAGAAATGTAGGGAGCTAGTTCACCCACGTCAGCATACATTATGTGCGTATATGAGAGTCAGTCACGTTGGGTAGCCCGCTCACATGCATGTGTGTGCACATGCTTGTACTTGTGTGTGTGTGCATAAGTGCGTATGTGTGCATGGATGCTCAAGTTATCGATGTGTGCAATGTACATCTTTCCAGACCATCTGGTAAAAGGAGAGCGATCGCTCTCGCGCGCCTTCGCTCTCCTTATTTTCTTTTAGGGCGCACTTTTCGTCGCGCGCCTTGAGAATTTCGAGCGCATCCGCATCACTATGAAGTTCTGAAAACACTCAAATTATTTCGTAACTTGGCTTTCCCTAAACGGAATCGAGTAAAGGTCTATTCACATTAGAAAGGTCTCAGCTGTCGGCTCCAACAAATCGGAAGTCGATCCGAGGTCCAATAGTGGAGTTACGGCACTTGTAAGGCATTTTACGTACCGTTGCAAATTTTCACTTCCGCACTTGGGCGGCAATCATAATTTATTAGTTTTTGACATAAAGGATTTCCCTCTGTTGTGTGACAGTCCGGGCATGCATAGACCTGTGTGACGCCAGGCACAGGTCTTTAGTCGTCAGCTACAGAAGAAAGGAGCGCTCTGCGATGAATAATACAAAATACCATGGATCTTAGCGAATTGTCTCAATTTCCCATTGCGTGTGTCATTGTCTCTGATGAAGGGAAATTACAGTTGTGGTCCGAACAGCTTTCATTTACAGTGCGTACGGCGATTTTCCAGAACGAATTTGGCAGCTATTAGGTATTGAATCCGATTGGGGTATGGCAAGATGTTGAAAAAACCCGTATTGTGCTCACATTGGATAGAAAAGGCGAGCGACTTTTTTTTGGGGGGGGGGGGAGGGTGGTGGGGACTGCTCTCCCACCACTCTCCTTGAGAGGATAGCGAGAGTGATTGTTCACTCTCCTGGATATTTCTTACACGAAGGTCTGTCTTTCATTTCTCTACTCTGCAGGAAGAAAAAGACCGCTTCAGCCAGGCATTTTTGACAGCCGCCACCAATGAGATCTATAAACCCGCAATGACCTCCCTGATCTGGTCGCATGCCGTGTTCGCCTGCTACGTAGTGGCCAGAGAGGCGTACATCTACAATACCGAAGTGTCTTATCATAACCTGATTGTGTTTGCGCTGGAGAACCTGCTACGCCTGATAGACTGTCACGTGACTGTGCCGTATTGGGACATATCTATAGACTACGACAAAGTGAGTATGGATGTTGGCTAGTTCAGTCGGCATGAACGTTGAAACGGACACACAGGCAGTTGACCTGACGATTGCCTGAAATGTTTGTGAATTCAATACATGTGTCTGTTGCTGTGTCTTTTAAGTGCAAAAAAGAAAATGAGTTATCAGAGCACTTGCAAGTGGCTAGGTCAGCCACTGAACTACAGGGGTTGCATTCTGTACTTCAGTAATGCAATTGTTTTGAAGAGTTGACTATTGTGCTTGACTTTAGGATATATGTTCGTAGAATGCTTGATCATGTACAACGCATGGGAAATGCAATATGCACCTATGCAACAAACCAACTGCAGGTGCAAGGTGAGTACTAGTAATTAGTGGCAATAACCTGAATATTTGAATACAGTCAACTTCGCCTATAACGACACTCGGCAGGGCATCAGAGAAGTGTCGTTATTCGCGAAGTGTCCTTATACCCGAAGTCTCATGTGTATTACAGTTAGATGGGACTTTGCTCTGGGCATGGAAATTCTGTCGTTATTCGCAAATTGCCGCTATATCCGCAGTCGTTATTAGCGAAGTTGACTGTATTTGAATAGGTGGCTAGGTGACAACAGTTTAAGGATTGCAATAAACGGACCAGCTGATGCGTCATTTCACGAAGGTTGTATTGAAAAGTCATGAACAAATTCTAGAGAAAGTAGAGAAAGTGGTGATGGACAAAGAAATAACTATGATGCAATGTGAAGAACAATAATAGGAACGATGAAAAATATAAAAGTGCACTTTTCCGTCTACTTCCGGGAATACCATTATGTGTACATAGCAAAAGTGAACAGAATTTGAGTTACGGCGCCGCATGTATGACCTGCTTTTTACTGTATATTTAATCAGGTAGTAAAGGGTTAAATAGCCTGAATGTTCATACCGTACCTTCCTTTTTCTTTTCTTTTTCCTTTTTTTGCGCTTAGAGTTACTTTGAGCAACTGCCAGAAGGATTTGGGGGAACAGGAGTTCCCCCGGACTACTGCGTAATGGACGGACCATTCAGAAAAGGTACGTCTCCCAATGCATGTGTATCTGAGAACAGTTGTAGCCGACGGTGGCCCACTGGTGCATGTGTATTGCTGTCGATTCTCGGCTGCCAAGCATCATCGAGCACCATAAATAAATTCACATCTGAATTCTTCCAGTGGAAGGAAAAAAATTCTGAGCACTTTCGTTTCCTTACGCTGCACTCCTAGTTGTCTCCCTTTTGCCATAACACAACGTGCAACGGTAAAAGCACGTATTAAAGAAGGAAATGTTGAAAGCTGAATATCCATGACACCTGCTATTTGACCACTCCCATGTACCAGGTTGTCTTGAAACATGTGTATGAACAAATCTCCGAGACACGTGAGGCACATTGTGCTTCATCTGTCATATTGTTTTGGTATGGACGAGATGGCTAGTGAGCGGCTCAAAGGCTTTTGCAAGTTGCTCACAACCCCAATTGCTCATTTAAAAAAAGTAAATGATCGTGTCCGTTCCCGAAGGGAACTCACGACGGCCGCTAACACCTGGTAACCCCTAGCGGCAGATGCAGCGCCTAACGGTGGGGGCGAGTGGATAAGTCTCACAACCACTGGCAAGTGCCAAGAAAGACCCCATCAGCTGCATCGATGTACCCCTTGTGCCTGGCCACAAGTTCCCAGTTGACTGTGGGTAGCAGCACGAATTGGCATTGCTCATTTTTGATGGTGAAAACAGGATCGAGTATGCAGTGCATAAAGACATGCACAACAAGCAGCAGAGAATTAGTGAAATGCCAGAATGTTCAGTTCGAATTCAAAAATCTACCCCCCCCCCCCACACACACACACACTTAGTACCTTAGCTCCCCCCCACCCCTCAGTTGCAAACCCCTCTAGCCGATGCCCCTAATCTTACATACATGTACCTCCCAGTGCCAGATCCGTGATGAATGCACACTCTGGGCTGCTGTGAACAATGTGCTGGGAAGAACTAAACTACAAATGTCTCGTCATGCTTTGCTTTCTGATCTACTAGTAAGCTATCACCAGCTTGGATGTGTATATTGTACTGCACATTAAACCTGTGCCGCTTGACCAGGTGACAATGTGTGCCACCAATGCTGACCATAGTAGCAGCAAACGTCACAGCTAGCTGTAGCTGTGTGGCCTTGCAATCTATTAGCACTTCAAATGTAAACCATCACTTGAAACCTTCAGAGGTCCAAGTATAATTCCAGAGTGTAACACTTATCTATCCACTTTTCAGGTATTGACCAGCCTTGCGAAATGGACATTGGCCTGTTGCACAATACTTGCCTATTCTTTCTGTCGGAAAGTTGCTGCAAGATGAAAGACAGGCTTAGCACGCCACCTGTCCTTGGCTTCTATCAACTCCAGCTGCCAAGTCTGTAGTGGACTGAAAATATACAGAATCACATGACAAATTACTTGACTAATGGTGGCATTCAATTGATAGCAGTTTACAGAGCCATGTAAACACTGATATATCAGCGATATTTCACCATAGCTTTGGACATGAGATTCTAGCTGGAAGGCTGTTCTCTTCAGAAATATAATGTACATGTTGTGGGGTCATTTTACGCGTAAATTGAAGGAGCCCCCCCCCCCCCCCCACACACACACTCCCCTTAACAGCCCTGACCGTAAATTCCTCTCGGCCCACTGGGCCAGAAAGGGAGATTTTTCAAAATGCTTATTCTTGTCCAAAAATTGTTGTAGGTTGTGGGTACAGTAAAACCTGTGACTAACGACCACCCCTCCCTTGGGGCCAGAGAAAGTGGTCTTTAGTGGCAGGTGGTCCTTAGTTAGAGGTTTGCACGGCACAACCATAATGTGAGACCGTCCGTGCCTGGCGAAGCGGTCTGTCTCGTAGTACCAGGCTGGTCGCTAGTCACAGTGGTCTTTAGTTACAGGTTTTACTGTAGATACATCTATACAGTGAATCTACAGGAAAACCTGTAACTAACGACCACCGTGACTAGCGACCGGCCTGGTACTACCGACCACTTCGTCAGGCACGGACGGTCTCACATTCAAAATGCACTGTGACTAGCGACTACCTGCTGAACGCGACCAGCGACCGCCTTTTCTTGTCCCAATGTCGAATTTTGACCCGTAACTAGCGACCGAGATGTAGGAAATCAAACATTGCTCGAAGCTCCTTCTCGAAATGTTGATGATTTTCCATGGTCCTGAAAGGACTGTTTCGATACTACAGCTGGACAAATGAACGCAGTCTCATTTTGACTGTGGAATCAGTGTGGACTGCACTACACCTGTCATAATTTCAAGTGCTGTCAAGAACAAACATGATAGGAAACGTCTTGGAGAGCGCATCCAAAGCGCTCTTTGATCGATGTTACTACTCGAAGGAGAAACTAAGACTGAGCGGCTCTCTGTCGAAGTGCAATCACACAGCTCAGTCACCAGGTCCCACTGAGTCCACAGAAGTCAGAGAAGTATCCGGCAAAGAAGCACTGTTCTGCATCTCAACATTGCAACAGTTTACGTTGCAGCGTGGCTTGTCTACCATGGCAATGGATGTAGAGAAACTTGGTGCCTTCATGAACAAACTTGAAGCCCAGCGCAAAGAGAAGCTTCAACAGGGAACTCTTGACTCCTGGCTTCAGAAGTAGGAGCTGTATTTAATGTCTGCAATAAAACTTGATTTTCTTTCTCTCCAAGTGTTGTATGATCTGAAAGAAGAATGTCAGTGCGCAAGTGGTGGGGGATTGTATTATCTGCATTTTGACATACATATCATATAATGGGATCCATATATGGTCACGCTGTGCAAACCTCTAACTAAAGACCACCTGCCACTAAAGACCACTTTTCCGGGCACCAAGGGGTGGTCGTTAGTTACAGGTTTTACTGTATATAAAAATGCCTAATGCTTTATTTTCCTATGAAATCAACAACACTGGCAGATCCTTGCATTTCCCAGGCAGGATCTTGAAAAATGAGTTATATCTGGCCCTAATCAAGCTGTGTGTGGTACACCTTGAAACAAGGCACAGCACACGATCTTGGGGCATGGGGGCACTCCTCGCAGTAGTATCGAGACTCCCTCCGGACACCTCTTGCCGAGCATACGGCGCAGCGCTTCTGTGGGCTCCCCTCCTTCGGTGCGCGGGGAGAATTGCCGGATGATGGCGTTCAGTGAGGCGGAGGTGTGGCTGACACTGTGGATGCTGATGAGCTGCAGTTACAGCAGCTGTGGGCAGTGGTTCATCGGCGGCACGGATCTCCCGGAGCTCTACCTTCCCGGGGTTGATTAGCATTGAGCACGCGACACGGATGAAGTCGTAGTGGGAAAGGGTGCTGCCATTTTTCTTCTGAATTAGGTAGACATTCAGAAGGCGCTCCTCCATCATGCGTCCAGCCAACTTCTTGTACCACTTGTAAGACTTCCGTGCTGACGTGTAACAGGAGAGCATGGCGTCGTTCCTGTCAACTCCACCCATGAACTTGTAATCATGGACAAGGGCTAACTTTCTCACCATCCTGCCTTGGCGGTCATGTTTCTCGGTGGCGATGATATTCGCAGTGTGCATGGACGACAGAAAGCAAACTTCCTTCGTGTCACGCAGCTTGACGAATAGAAGGCCATCAGAACTGCGGCTGACAAACTCTCCCTTCTTCAATGCACCCTTGCTTGCGGTACCTTTTGGCAATCCAGAGCGGTTCTTCCGCACTATAAAACAAACTGCGGTGCCGTTGTCAGCCAGGTATCGCACCAAAGCCACTCCACGCATACCAGTTGTCAACGAACAACTGGTATCCCTTGTCAGCGAGAGGTTGCATCAGTTTTGCGACGACAGCTCCGGACACACCGACTTGGTGGACCACATCATCATCAAACGAGGCGTTGTCTTTGCCGACATAGATGATGAAGTCGTGGAGGTAGCCGGAGTCCTCACACAAGTACACAGATCTTGATTCCGAACCGAGTTCGCTTGGACGGATTGTATTGCCGGAAGCTGAGGCGTTCCTTCCAGGCCACAAGCTCCTCGTCAATGCTGATGCGTGCTGTGATGTACACTTGCTGGAAACATTATTTATACGTAAATCGCCCTTCGCAAATTGTCTTGCCAAGTTTGTGATTATTTTAGTTTGTACAATGTATACGTACTTCTATTGAATTCTATTCTTGGCCAATGATGATTAATGTCTCCAAATAAACGTTACAATTACTTGATTTTCTCATGGTTGTGATCCCTAGATAACTTCAAAGTGCCAAAGTTCGTGTACAACGGTACTGAACTTCCCTACTCGGACTGCTTGGTGCGGAACGTGTCTTCCACCTTCTACCCTACGTCTAACATGCAATTCAGTACGCTGCTAGCTGTGCCTCCGGAGAGTTCGGTGGCGGTGGAATCAGGTGGGCTTCTTTTCTTACTTATATGGTATTTGTTTTGTAGTGCTCCTGATTGTAACCGTGTGCAGTTGTAGCGGTGTAGACGGAACCTGCAGTCATGTTTCTCCTGGCAGGAGAATGTGGAAATATAGACATAGCGATACAAATTTTGCTTCTGCTTCTCTCAAAAATTCATGATGAATGTATCGCGATTCTTGTAAGTTGGCCTCAGATAGAGGGTTCCTCATTTCTTTGCTTTTGAATCCGAAGTTACTGGAAGTGAGTTCCGTAGTCACGAATCCACAATGGATTGTGTGTGTGTGTGTGTGTGTGTGTGTGTGTGTGTGTGTGTGTGTGTGTGTGTGTGTGTGTGTGTGTGTGTGTGTGTGTGTGTGTGTGTGTGTGTGTGTGTGTGTGTGTGTGTGTGTGTGTGTGTGTGTGTGTGTGTGTGTGTGTGTGTGTGTGTGTGTGTGTGTGTGTGTGTGTGTGTGTGTGTGTGTGTGTGTGTGTGTGTGTGTGTGTGTGTGTGTGTGTGTGTGTGTGTGTGTGTGTGTGTGTGTGTGTGTGTGTGTGTGTGTGTGTGTGTGTGTGTGTGTGTGTGTGTGTGTGTGTGTGTGTGTGTGTGTGTGTGTGTGTGTGTGTGTGTGTGTGTGTGTGTGTGTGTGTGTGTGTGTGTGTGTGTGTGTGTGTGTGTGTGTGTGTGTGTGTGTGTGTGTGTGTGTGTGTGTGACGATTATGGTCACACACGTCTTTCTTCTCTTTCTCAGACTCCTCCAGACTTTTCTTTCATTCTCCTGGGTGGTTACCAACAGCCAGTGCATGCCGGAGTATGTGGTGTGATGTGTGTGCGTGAAGAAAAAATGAAAAAGACCAAAAAGTAGGGATTCACTGGCCAGAAAAGCCACTTCATAGCTGTGTGGTGTAGACCAGGCTGAATAGTGGTGGTCAATTCTTCAGCCTTGCAAGCTGTTGAATGGTGCAATCCCAGCACAAGCTGCTATGGCTTCTGCTGTAGCATCGCTATCATCGCCTCTGGCGATGGGCGTCCAATGGTCCAATGGTGTGTGTGTGTGTGTGTGTGTGTGTGTGTGTGTGTGTGTGTGTGTGAGGGATTCACTGGCCAGAAAAAGTCACTTCAATCAGCTGTGTGGTGGATACCAGGCTAAAAATAGTGGCGGTCAATTCATCAGCCTTGCAAGCTGTTGAATGGTGTAATCCCAGCACAAGTTGCTATGTCTAACATAGATGTTCGCTATCATCGCTTTGTTCGCTATCATCGCTTCCGCGATGGGCAGGTCTGAGGTGAGGTGTGTGTGTGTGTGTGTGTGTGTGTGTGTGTGTGTGTGTGTGTGTGTGTGTGTGTGTGTCTGTGTGTCTGTGTGTCTGTGTGTCTGTGTGTCTGTGTGTCTGATGTTCAATTTCCATAGGCACATATAGGCAGCAGGTCACATCCAGCCGTGCCAGATAACAGACAAACTTCACAATCAAAATATCTGAGTGGGTAATGCAGATTGCGTGTTTCATATCATGAAGCCTAGTTATGAGCTATCAGTAAAAGTGTTGCAGGAGGTGAAAGGCCAATGTGTTAAAAGCTAACACTATAGACTTGTGTGTGCGCCGTCTTGACAGGATTATTTGAAACATTCGATGCCAACTTCCATCTGGCGTTCCGTGGCTCGTTCAAGGGACTCATCCCAGGCCTGGATCCACTATTCTATATGATACACAACTTCATCAACAAGATCATGGCCAATTACCAGATGCAAGGCCCCGAGCATTTAACTGGTGACGGAAGGTGGAGCAATCACGTCCCACTATCAAGTAAGGATACTGAAGACTAGAGTGGGTTTTGCTTGGCCAACTTGCAGGTTACATCTTTATAGAATGCAGGGTTCTAGCCGAAGGACACAGCCCCCCCTACTCATTTGTCAATGTTCGTGTTTTTCAGGCAATTCAACGAGAATGCAGTCGGTTGTCACTAAACGAGGGTTCATAAAGACACAGTCGTCTGGGGTGAAGTGATGGGTGAAGTCAGGGGTTCGCCCCTTACGTGACATTTTGCATGGCAAGACAATTTTGGAAAATGGAAAAATTCATTATGGGGTAACTTTGTCCCCTGCCTGCTGTCCTACTGATTTGACCTGGCTTGAACCCTGTAGCGGAATAATGTATGCTTACCTAGAAGTTTGTTTCTCTACACTGGAGAAGGTGCGGTCACATACAATGTTCATCTGCAAAGACAGCGAACTGTTCATGTCAAATCATAATCAACACCGTTTCGGGCCCGGCTGGTTAGATGTTGGAAATCGCATGCCTAATCCTATGTCTTTCTTACTTTACTTCTAGAGTTGTGTTGACGTATACCAACACTGCAGTCATAATAAAGAGCAACAGTATGTATGATGCTGTGTGTGGTGATTGGGAAATTGTATTGGGTTATGGCTCTTTACGACCATGACAATTCCATATGATTGCATGCTACAAAACATAGCAAGATGATTCCGTTTCCTTCCCTGCTTCCTTTTGTTGATTTTTGTTTCAGCCTTTCCTTGGTTCGACGGAAAGTCCTTCCTCGACTGTCAGAACTTTCCGAACGAAGTCTGTGTCAAATGGGATGCCGCGTTGGATGAGGACCGGGCAGTGCAGATGAACTACTATGCCGGACTTGAAGTGCCACGCACGCATCACATCGTAGTCCCATATGAGGTACATGCAGCATTGTAGTCGAGGGAGTGTAGGCATTTGTGCGATGTTCTTTGAATATCTTAGCAGCAAAATAGTTGGCTAGGTGCCGTCATGTATGCATCTGTAATGATCTTCCTAAACGTGGAGGGAGCCGGAGGACGTGGCATCAAATGCTATTGAGCTGGCACTGTCATTATTATTCCTATCAATATTTGATCGTGCAGTGTAAAATATGCCGGAGATGAGGCTGCATTCATAATTTACCTACTAATAGAGACTCCCCTTGTATTGAAGTATTGTCTCCTGTCTCCTCAACATTGGTAGCACTGCCGCCTCTGTCAGGTCCGGGGCTGGCAGGAGCTGATGGAATCCCCAGTTTCAGCATAACGATTAGTCTGGACTCAATATGCTCTAAAGTTCATCGAGTTCAACGGTTCTCCCAGCTTTACTGTGCCCACTCTTTGCGCGGAGACTTATGTGTACACGCTCTACCAAACAGGGTTCTATCTGAAACAGGCTTTAGCACAAGACACTATGGTATACTCAAATCTAAAAAGCATGTTTCTTGGTGCACAGGAAATCCGGTAACTTTTCGGTCGATATTATGTTTCGCAAAACATTCTCTCGTTGTTTGATCTTGATTGTGATTGTACCAGACTATACGGTTGATGGATATTGATAAGAAGGCTCAGACAGACTTCAAAAAGTTGCTCGCTTTGTTGAAGAAGAAATACAGCACCTTTTCTTTTGACAGTAACGGAATACGAGTTGGACCTGGATGGTAAGCAGTCCGGTCGTAACTGGACATCTATGCTGTGTTGGTGTTAGTGTTCATGATAGCAATCAAAATGTGTGTGTGTGTGTGTGTGTGTGTGTGTGTGTGTGTGTGTGTGTGTGTGTGTGTGTGTGTGTGTGTGTGTGTGTGTGTGTGTGTGTGTGTGTGTGTGTGTGTGTGTGTGTGTGTGTACATGTATGTACTGTCGTGCACATTGAAACCCAATGGGATGACCAGAGCCGGAACACTTACTGCCTTAGCGCTTGCATGCATTGTACTAGTCTGTAGTTTACGCACACACTGTGAATGTGCTAGTCTGTAGTTTACGCACACACTGTAAAGATGGACCAGCAGTGCTCCTGGCTGCAAGGCCCGTGCCCCGTGGTCGCTTGACTTCTCAGCAGACTTCAATGTCCACAACGGTATATGTGGGCGCATGTTCTGAGTAAATAAATATAATGGCAACCTTGTGGCAAATGCTCACCACCATGATGCTGACCTGAAATGCTTTGGGCGAAAACAGGGACAAAAATCGAAAGAAAGTTCGAAAAACATAGCAGTGCCTGATGTGTCATGGCTTCGATTTTGATTGACTTTGAAGAGTGCATTTCTTGACTGCACAGTACTTCATACCTGCCCAGGACCCCGATATTTTCGGGATTACCCTACTCGCGCAATATTTACAATGCCCATGACAGATGGGGCACTACTCGACCGGGGGGGGGGGGGGCACTATTCAAGAGAGGGCTTCATTTTTTCACCGGCTCTTAGAGACTGGGGCACTATTTGAGATAGGGCACTGTTCAAGAGAGGGCTCTGATCGCGCGAGTATGGTATCCCACATTTTGGATGAACTCCCGCGATTTCGAAATTTATGTCGATTATCCTGAAAATCACAGTACAAGAAACGCGTTCTGGGAGCACTTCAAGTGACTGTGTCTAGTTGTCCTTATTAATCCTGTACCACCATAGCTGTAGTACCAGTGGGTCTACTAGTACTCTCTCCATGAGCAGTCCCTGAAGAACCTCTTTTGAGTCATGAACATGCGTAAAATGTGAACTACATGTATATCATCACCATCATCTACAATTATGGTAATCAATAATGTCACGAAACGTTGGTGTCATCATTTAAAAACAGTTGAAAACGGAATTTTGGAAAAATTACATATCCTGAAAAACCAAGGCAGATTCCGGGATTTTTTTCCCTGGCAATCTTGAAAAAGCACACTCAATAATTGGCAGGTATGGTACCTACATGTACATACATGAGTGCAAGGGTGAGATTGCAGGTGAGCAGCTACCTGTGCTAAGACTCATGTTGAATGCCACAGCAATATCCATTGTACTGTGCTACTAGCAGAATGCTCTTCCTCACAGCAATATCCATTGTATGTAGCAGAATGCTCTTCCGTAGTCTCAGCAATATTCATTGTACTGTGCTACCAGCAGAATGCTCTTCCTCACAGCAATATCCATTGTATTGTAGCAGAATGCTCTTCCTCTCAGCAATATCCATTGTACAGTGCTACCAGCAGAATGCTCTTCCGCTTGACTCAAGTTCGGTGCTGTCTCTCATTCTTGTGTTCCTTCTCTTCAGGGAAAAGGATTTCGAAGCGGGATTCTTCTCCTTGAAGAATGACCCCACGCCGAAAAAGTGTCAGGCCTACGAGAATATGGACCCGAATTTTATACACACGAACAGTTCTTCGTCGCTTGTGGAGCTGGTTTACGGAGATCCTAAGTCCGGAGTCAATAACGATGGGAAACAATGACCTTGGTCTAGGATGCTAGAAATCAACTGATACTGTGGCCAATGTTTTGCTGAATTCCTCTTCAATAATCAGTCCTTCCATTTATTTGAAAGACGGCGAGGAGATGACCCCTATACCCCTCATTTTGTGTTAACTTTTTTTCCCTTCGTCCCCGTATGGTGCTTTTTGACCCCAATAAAATATTTTGCTGGGTAGCTAATACTAGCCATGCAGCCATGATCTTGTGTTTCCGTACACATAATTATGCCATTGCTTCCAACAAGCTGCTTTCATTGGAAGAAAATTGAAGTGTGGCTTGAAGGAGGCATGAAACCCCGCAATTGTACATTTGCAATATACTATGATCTCGACATGTCTGTGTCACATGCACGGACCTCTGAGTCACTCCGCGCGTGCTGGTCATTGCACAGTGTAGTGGTGTAGTTGCTATGCATGACTTGATAAGTGGTAAAATGTGGAAAAAGCAAAGTGTCGAACTGTCACTCTCGCGTGTCATCGTTAACAGGTACATGTGCATGAGCTGCGGTGTAAAAGTGTTGGAACTAGCGGCATGTTCGATTGTGAAATCCGTGGCCCCAGATCCGGATTAGTGAAGTTTGGACCTGTTCTATTGTACGAACCCGGTTCCAGGTTGCTCGGATTCTTATCTAGTCAACCCACCTCACAAAGGTGACTCGACGGTTGTGACAGATCCGTTTTCACTCTGCTCCCCAAATCGGGCAAACATTCTTGTTTTTCTAAGTTTTCTTGCTTTTAAGAGAGGTTTCGTTTCACGTTGTTCTGCACTACACCGTGAGATTTCACGTCGGTGTGGCAAATTTTGGCGTCGAAACTCCCGTTCGACGTTCATGACGTGGGCTGATTCCGCTGAGGCCAACTCACGTTCGACGTGAACGCGAGTTTCACGGTGTAGTGCAGAACAACGTGAAACGGAACTCTCGTCAGATCTCGCTGGACCGACCAGAATGGGGCTGCCATGCATGCGCCTTACCTGGGCTGGTGCAAGACGCCAATAATGAGGACGTCATGTTGCCATACTTAGTATACCTACAACTTACAAGTAGTATGGTGGTGGCATCCTATCACACAAGGTCGAGCTCCTAGGACGCACTGTGCATGTGCGAGGTTCCTGACTGCAGCCAGTCCAGAGAGAGAGCGGGAGTGATCGGGTGGTGCAATAACTCATGTACATAGAAGCATGTACATGTACAATGTAGATTCTCCACCACGTGATCAAGTTTGTTGTTGACAAAGATACACAACTATGTTACTTCCCAAGTTACCGGCAGGGGTGACTCGGGTGAGATGGTGCTGCATGCGTGGTGGCGCCTGCCATGTGACTGAGGACTCCACGGCAGGCAAACGCGAAACCAGGAGAGCCTAGATTAGCCAACTCCACCAAACTGTTCCTTGCCTTTTGAGGGCCTCTGAGACCCTCCACTAGTATAATTTGTATAATTTATATCAAGGATTCCCCAGAGGCCGTTTAGGCCTATCGAGGGGTCTCCATTTCTGTACAGTTAGGATGAGAATAATGTAAAGTGGGCAGAGAAGGAGAAATAACACGAAGAATAGGACAACAGGGAAGGCATGTGCACTGAAGTGAGCAGATCGCTGATGAGGAAAACAAAGAATATTGAAATTAAGCCATCCTATTATGCAGCTCTCTTTTAAACTCAGTCACATTTTTTTATGATGGAGGTTGTGGAAGGGGGCAGACAGCTCCACAGAGCGCCTGACTGAAATAGAAACATTGAAGATAGTATGCGTCCATGACGATGGAAGACTAGTTTGTTCGGACGGCGCTCACGTTGAGCAACGGAAATGTGGAACATCGCGAGGTAATTAGGGTGCGAATGGATGTATCTAAAGAGGGTGAACAGTGAAAGAAACTGGTATCTAAAGTGAAGGGATTGAATATGGCATAGCTTATTTAGATTTTCTTTAGTTTCAAATTTATCAAAGGCTGTGTTACTAGACTTTAGGATGGATCTACACACTTTAGCTTGAAGTACATCAAGCCGGCTAGCTAGGTGCTCAGCACTTCAAAATTAAAAGGTAGGAGCATAACTACAGTCAAACCTCTTTAGGACGAACACCAAGGGACCGATGATATTTGTTTGCAATAACGGGAGTTCTTCTTATCCGTATGGTATACCCAGTGAATACACAGTGATGTATCCAATGGAGTTACGAATACTAGTTCTTCTTAAGCAAACATTTGTCTTATCAGTGTTCTTCCTAACGAGGCTTCACTGTACATGATTGTACCACAGTTCTAGTATGTAGGCTACACACACAATTGTGTACAATGCACCTGATCAGTGCTTGTGGTCTGCATGGTGAATGGTTCGGAGGTCATGCAGACAGTGTTTTCAATGAAAAGCAGGGTAGATATCATGGCAGTACATTATTGTATGCTCGAACTCGTCTTCTTCAAAGTTCTTTTCACACTGATACAGAACATGTAGCAGAAGATGCGAGTGAATCAGCCTTTATCAGATATTCCGGGGCGGACGAGATAGTGAAGGGTAGTCCGCAAAACTCCCCGTACATGTACATTGTGCATGTTACGAAGTCATGAGACATGACCTCTGGATTTTAGCAGCCATGACTGTGCAGGCTATGGATATTACTCAAATAATTAAAAAAAATTGAGGTATAGTTGATGGTCGGTCATTATAGAAGGAGAGCTGGAGCTACGGGAGAGATGAGCTGATTATTCGCAGGGTGAGGGTGAAATCGGTAGGACGAATATGACGATTACGAAGACAGTTGAACATTATAATTATCAAAGGTAACTCCAACTAATTTGGCAATGAAAAAATCCTTTTACAAAAGAAATCAGCTAATGTATAGAAGAAGTAATGTTTTCTCTTTTCCATGCGCTGATCTCTATCATGCATGGACACCTTGGTATGGGGATACTCGTGCATTTTTTGTACTTATGGCCACTTGCAAGTATGAAAAAATTTCCGGGACTTTGTGGCTCCATAAGTACAAAAAAGGGGATATGTATCCCCACGTGCCAAAGCATAATATTAGGATTTTGCGAGCATAGTGCGAGCATCCATGAAACCATAATTCCATGATTTTGCGATCATAATCCGCCACAGCCTACTGATCATTGAAGAGTAATTCAACGACAAATTGGCCACAGTATCAGAAAGAAAAGTTAGTTTCTGGTATCATAGCCCAGGGTCATTGTTTTCCATCGTTATTCACTCCGGACTTAGGATCTCCGTAAACCAGCTCCACAAGCGACGAAGACCAGTTCGTGTGTATAAAATTCAGGTCCACATTCTCGTAGGCCCGGCACTTTTTCGGCGTGTGGTCATTCTTCAAGGAGAAGAATCCCACTTCGAAATCCTTTTCCCTGAAGAGAAGGAACACAGGAATGAAAGACAGCACCAAACTTCAGTCAAGAGGAAGAGCATTCTGCTAGTAGCACAGTACAATGGATATTGCTGTGAGGAAGAGCATTCTGCTAGTAGCACAGTACAATGGATATTGCTGCGGCATTCAACATGAGTCTTAGCACAGGTAGCTGCTCACCTGCAATCTCACACTTGCACTCATGTACATGTATGTACATTGTACATGTAGGTACCATACCTGCCAATTACTGAGTGTGCTTTTTCAAGATTGCCAGGGAAAAAATCCCGGAATCTGCCTTGGTTTTTTTAAAGAAATGTAAAAAAATCCAAAATTCCTTTCTGAACTACACTGTATTTTTAAAATGATGACACCACCGTTTTGTGACATTATTGATTACCATAATTGTAGACGATGGTGATGATATACATGTAGTTCACATTTTACGCATGTTCATGACTCAAAAGAGGTTCTTCAGGGACTGTTCATGGAGAGAGTACTAGTAGACCCACAGGTACTACAGCTATGATGGTACAGGATTAATAAGGACAACTAGACACAGTCACTTGAAGTGCTCCGAGAAAGTGTTTCTTGTACTGTGATTATCGGGATAATCGACAGAAATTTCGGGAGTCGCGGAAGTTCTTCCGAGCTCAAATGTTTTTCGAACTTTCTTTCTATTCTGTCCCTGTTTTCACCCCGAGGCATTTCAGGTCAGCATCATGGTGGTGAGCATTTCCCACAAGGTTGCCATTATATTTATTTACTCCAAACACAGAATGAAGTCGCAGACACCACTGCAGCTGTACTTATGGTTGATAAATATGGTGGTAAAGACACACCTGGCAATATGGCGGTAAACACACGCCTGCCCACACACGCTCTCTGGGCTACAAAGTTCTGGCACAGAGCTCTCCTTCTCACCACCACCACCATCAGTTCGCGCCTGGCGCCTGGTCGATGCATGGCTGACGGTATCCGGCATAGCAGGCTGGTACATCAAGTAGCGCATGGCACATAGATGATGACACAGCAACGACATAGCTCGATTGCGAAGTACGTTTCGTCCCCGCTGGACTCATCAGGCAATCTTCTTCTTGGAACTGATGACTGATGGTGGTGGTGGTGAGAAGGAGAGCTCTGTGCCAGAACTTTGCAGCCTAGAGAGCGTGTGTGGGCAGGCGTGTGTTTACCGCCATATTGCCAGGTGTGTCTTTACCACCATATTTATCAACCATAAGTACAGCTGCAGTGGTGTCTTCGACTTCATTCTCCCGAGTCAAGCTCCGTATGAAGACATCCAAGAAGAAGATTGCCTGATGAGTCCAGCGGGGACGAAACGTACGTCGCAATCGAGCTATGTCGTTGCTGTGTCATCATCTATGTGCCATGCGCTACTTGATGTACCAGCCTGCTATGCCGGATACCGCCAGCCATGCATCGACCAGGCGCCAGGCGCGAACTGATGGTGGTGGTGGTGGTGAGAAGGAGAGCTCTGTGCCAGAACTTTGCAGCCTAGAGAGCGTGTGTGGGCAGGCGTGTGTTTACCGCCATATTGCCAGGTGTGTCTTTACCACCATATTTACTCCAAACACATGCAAACATATACACAGAAGAACCTTGACTATCGGTCACAGTCTCCTGATGGTTGCTTCTCAGCATGAAACTCGTGAGTAGAGACATTTTTGAAAATCACTTTTTGTTCCACCAGATTTTCATTCGCACACATATACCCGAAGTCCGCTGAGAAGTCAATCAGCCACGGGGCGCTGGCCTCAGTGAAGCCAGGAGCACTGCTGGTCCATCTTCACAGACTGTGTGCGTAAACTACAGACTAGCACATTCACAGTGTGTGCGTAAACTACAGACTAGTACAATGCATGCACGCGCAGGCAGTAAGGGTTCCGGCCCCGATCATCCCATTGGGTTTCAATGTCCACGACAGTACATACACACATACTTGTACACACACTCGCGTGCGCACGCACGCACACACACATGCACACGCGCACACACACACACACACACACACACACACACACACATATTTTGTTTGATTGCTATCACCAACTCCAACACCAACACAGCATAGATATGTCCAGTTACA